TGAGGAATACTGGAGCGACTTAATTTAATACTTTTCTTCAGAGCTGATTTCCAGATGATTCTAGTTTATATTGATGTATTCTCACAAAATGTGGGGACTGAACGTTTTGAAACAGAAACGCTACGTCAAGGCTACTGTCGGATCCAAGTCCGCATAAAGGAGGAGGGTCATCTTGGGGCTGGAGATCCAATCTTATATAAAATTAATTCGCCGAAAAAACGCTAAACCCCTTTACTTTGCCTGCCAGTTAGAAGTTTTTCGTTCCGAAGAGTTATGACATCTCATGAAAAAATCCGAGTTCCGTCGGAAGTCATGAGGCCGATGCCCTCATCTGACAACCAGGGACACCATTCTTTTAGGTACATCGAATGTTTGAACATAGTGGAAAACCGAAGACTATTCCAAGTTGCTGCAGAAATATGAAGAAACAATCTTTAGGACCCCGGAATCACTGAAACGCATTGGACGCTGGTCGGACTAAAAAGACTAACTTCTGAAGAGCTACTATTATACTCCGACCAGGAAGTTGTAAATGCCTCACATATAAGGGGCTGACTGATGCTACGCAAACAAGCAAAAAGGCACTAATAGGATGGAAATTTCATGAACCAAGGATCATCAAGGCATCCGTCAAAACAAAGAAGCAGTGGATTACGATGAAATATATCTAATGCTATGCGCCTACCACAGACTACAATGATGACGTCAAAGATCAATTATAAGAGAGGCTTCAGTATATCGACGACAGATGCTCATCAAAGGATCTGACCATTATGATGAGAGACCTAAATGTCAAGGTTGGCATTGACAACACTAGATATGAAGACATCATCGGACGACATAGATTGGAAAGAAGGAACGAAAATGGTAAGGGATTTGCAAACCTATGTGCCTTCAACAAACTGGTCATCGGCAGCACAGTATTCCCACAAAAACGAATGCACAAAGCTACATGAATTTCACTGGATCACACTACTCTGAACCGAATGGACCATTTCTGCATCAGTAAACAGTTCAGAAGGACCATGGAGGACGTGAGAACCAATAGAGGAGCCGATATAGCATCAGATTACCACTTGCTGGTATTCAGCAGTACTGAAGAACAGAGACACAGGTGGGTATCACACTTTAAAGAACTCTTGTATCGACCAGCACCGCTGAACCCACCCAACATCGAACCAGCATCTACGGACTTCCAATTCGATGTTGCTCCCCCAATAATTGAAGTGATCATCATGACCATCAGATAAATGAAGAGTGGCAAGGCAGCAGGACCAGAAAACTTTCCAGCAGAGGAGCTGTAAGCAGATGTAGAAGCAACTGCAAAAACATTTCACACACTCTTCAAAGAGATTTGGGATCAAGAACAAGTGCCAAGGGACTGGACACAAGTATACCTCATCAAAATACCAAAGAAACGCGATCTCAGCAGGCTGGATCAAATTGTCGCAAATGCCTTCACACTTACCGGAAAAGTCAGGTATAAGAGTATAAGAGTCAGTTTCTGGCAGAACATTTACACCATGTCACTGATAGGAACAGTTTGATACAGCCACTTTTTTAATAGGAGAGTGCAAATAGGTATGGCGCACAGTAGGTTTCTTCGGTGGTTTACATATATCAGTATTGAATTTATTGGGAATGTGAAATTGGAAAGCGCTTGATACATGCTGTCCTAGACTTGCGTGTGCATAAGATGCATTTTGCCCAGAGGCGGCATGGATGTTCCACTGTGGATAAGGCTCTGAAAAGGTAGAAAAGAGATAGGAAAAGAGACAGCAACGAGGCGATTGTATGTATATGACCAAAGCACTACTTAACTGGTCACGTTGAAGTAGACAATACAGTAGTAAGTCAAGATAAAATTCATACTGACCAATAAATGTAAAGTAAATTGTAGGAATATGACCCAAAAACGAAGGAGTACAGCAATGAAGAAGGAAGACTTGTGGAGAGTTTCAAGTGGATAGAAAAGAAGTTGAAGCAACAAGCTGAATTTATATACGTTGAAACCGAAATTGCAGTAAAAAGAGTAAAGTTTGTAAAAAACCTTGATAATTAAATTTTTTCACTGTCTAAATGTTTCTAATAAATTCCAACCTCTACATCATACTGTAAGCACCTGAGTAAGCACGTTGAGGGTTGTTTTGGAAGAACAGAGACCTCAGCATATTTTCGGAAACATGAGTCTCGGAAGTAGCAAGCGTATAAGAGCAATCTCAGTATCAATCATTAGTCGCCTCATGGATCGGAAAGAGCCGTACTCAATCAAAATGTTCTGTCACACAAACATGGGTGGTTTGAAGTCAGCGCCCACACCATCAACGTTTTCTGGTCAGTAACTCCACCCTCCCTCCTTTTATGCTGTTAGGCTGATGTAAAGTGATTGGAGTAACCTGTCTACTTCAAGTAAAAACTAAAGAGACTTCTATTGAACTAGAAAAATTTAATGCTACTTAGGAGGATAAAAATAAATAAATAAAACGCTGCTCTGAGTTCACTGTAGTTTAAGTGTGTGAGTTAATTTTCACGTTTCGGGGTATTTACCAGACTCTAGGGATAATCTAAATATTTTTAGCAAAAGCTTTTGAAGGTTTGGTCCTGCCATTTTATAAATTATGGAAGGTATTTCATCCGCACCACAGTGCCATTGGGCTTGAGGATTTTAACGACAGCTCGAATATTGCTAGGATTAAAGTTGATGGTACTGAGACTATTCTTACTGCTACGGTTAATATTAATATCATTGGTAAGAGTTGTATTCCCCAGTTCGCTGACATTCAAGTGCCTTAATCATGAATTTTTAAGCGTATGGTGCTGAGACTATTTCAAATGACACAATAAAACTGAAATATGAGGTAACATATGTGTTCTGATTGAGGGAAAATCATGTACTAAACAGTTCACAAATGACAGTTTCGTCATAATAAGTCTTCTATCACGTAGTATAGAATGAATTTTGCTATCTAAGTCCTATTTTATGCTTTTTTAAGCGGACGATAGAGGTTTTGAGACTTACACTCAGTAGCGAGAGCATTATTTTCTTATATTTGTTAATGAACTTCACGTTGGTCTTTCATACCCCCAAGTACGGCCCATATTTCGTACTGAATGCTGAAGGAACTGGGTATCCTTCCAAAGAGAAGTGGACCGGAAAATGTCTGCCATTTGAGACCAGGAATGTTGAAGTAACCACAAATAATTTTGCAGGCTAATTCAAGTGGAAGTCACGACAAACGACTCACCAGTATCAATGTCATTCGATCGATGAGTGTTTGAAGCTCGATATATGCATCCAATCAATATTTTACATTCATAGGCATGAATAGTGAGCCATATCGAATCTGACACATCGCTAAACGTTTCTGTTTTGATGTTTCTAGATACATAGATGATGCAACCAACACCGTTTTAGAGCCTCGGTTACCGCGAAAGAGTTCATAAGAGTCTATTAGAAAGTATAAGACTAGGACACCTGAGAACAACCAACTTTCGGTAATCATGACAAGGGAAGGGTTGTTTAGAATTACCGGAGAGCGTAAGGGAGTCATCTTATTGATTACAGATCAGGAATTAATTAGCAATAGTATTACGTAGGATCAATACTCATCTTTCAGCGAAGCACGATGGGCATCTAGTGGGTTATATGTTGTGTTTTCTGAAGAAGGGGTGGAAGTAGGAATATAGGCTTGATGGTTATGGTCAGTTGATTTGTGAGCAATATCGTTAGTTGGAGAGAGGTATTCAGAGACTGGTGTGGTGAAAGAAGCATATGAGGTAGGATATGGAAAATTTCGTTCGGCAAAGTTATCTGATGACCCCCGAAGAACAGAGGAGGAAGTCGCTGGAGAGCATAATGATATATCGTTTCGTTTATCCACTGGATTAGGTAGAGTGGGAAAGTCAAGTCAGTGAACAATCTGTAGGGTGGTCGGTCAAAAGGACCAGACATAAAAGTATTACAACTAGAAAGGGCAGACAGCGACAACGATTGTCATCCATTACATCACAGTATGCAGAGAATCACTGGGAGGAGGTGGAAATATTGCCCCCAAAAGCTGAAGGTAGCAAAACAACTCTGTTGAGGGGGTGAGTGTTAAAAAGGCTAAGAAGTTCGTAACATCGCTGTATGTATTTTATTTAGGCTCTTAAACGGCACAGCGGAAACGGAGGTTTTAATTAAAAAAGACAAATCTTTGGATAGTCTAACTACTATAATATGAAATAAAAGGACTACATAAGATACGGAAGTAAATCATTCATAAGTATACTTTATATTGAGATAACTCATAACCACTTATCTTAGGCTGTTACAATACTAATGATCTTCCAGAATACGATTTTCGTTAGTCTAGACTCCTTCTAGCAATATTAAACTGTGATGAACACTTTATTTTTCAGCCCTTGATCCATACGGAATGTTCGAAAAAAAAGACTGTTGGCGATAGAGACTGAAGTACTTATATATGAAGCAAATAAAAGTATTATAGACGAAAGAATAACTAGAGACCAATTGGCTCCATCCGTTATATTTTCTCTCGCCAACCTATGGAATGAAGAGGGGTGACCTCATCCTAGTAAAAACCATGGCAATCAAAGTTTACTTAAACGTCCTAATCCTACACAAGAGTCGTCACGAAGATATAAACAGTTACACCCACTGAAATTTCCATCAAGTCAGAGAACTCCGACACTATTCTTGCCTTTTCCGTAACGAATAACTACGTTGATTTATACAAGACATTACCCGGACCTTTCTACAATGACTGATACGATTGGTAGCATAATTACGTTCTAAACGTTGAACTAGCGTCAACCAGTCGTGGCACTGAATGAATTCATCAGAGAAGACTGAAATATCGAGTGACTTCTCCCTTTTATATGACGTGCCACTTTCCATTCGTCCCATCTTATCACTTCATTTTATTCACTTATTTTAGTGTATAAGTTTTTAGTGAGTCTATTTGTTTATTCACATTATTTCACTACTTTTCCACCTTCTCGGCCACATGTACCTTTGTTTTTCGAGAAATGCGATTAATCATTAGAAGTGAAGTCGTTAGCTTCAGCCACATTAGCTGCTAGCTTCACTAACATCTTATACTTAGGACAAAAGTTACCACTTCAATCTTCAAAAATCTTTTGAAATCACTAGTAGTATCGAAAAAGTAGTCATATTGACTTCATTTTAGGCTACTAATTTTTGAAATTCACCAACGCTTACGTACAAAGCAAATTTTGACAGATCGCCACAGGTTTGGTGTAAAGATAATAGCCGTCAAAGCAGAAGTCCGAACGTGGTCGCTACATTTCAAGGTCTTGAGTCATGTTGTATTGAAGGCAATTCAAATGTCTCCTGTGATCGTAGGCTTCTGTCTTTGCATTGTTTACGACGTATTTTAGTTGCGGCTTAGACACCTTCGAGCTGTCTACGGACGGAATTTCAATTTTTCGGATGACGAGTCCGGCAGAACTCCTATTGGAGTGACTTTTGCCTTAAGTCCTGTTAATCAAGATAATATTGGATGTAAGGTACTTTAAAAAGACCTTATTTACAGACTATTACGTGAGCGATGTAGCCTCTGACCTAAAAGTAGCATTTCCATTATTTGTAACGATTTTTTTCAGAATCCGGAATGGGATCCCGTTGAAATATATAGTCTTCCTAAACAGTACTTATCATCGAAAGGTTTGAGATCGATTTCTGATATATTAGTGGTAGCCGTTCTGTTTACGTTTTTCATATCATACAAAGAATTCAACTCGGTTCTGTTTGAGATTGTAGTGCATTTCTCCGGCCTCGTCCTTACAAACTCCGAAGTACGTATAGCCTATATAATTATTGTTTAGATGCGTGAAAATATGTGTGTTTCCGACTCGAGAGATCAAGTTTACTTCCAGTTTGGTCGGCGTGTTTATACTGCTCGCGAACAATTCAACCCAGGCATAACCTGTCCTCAACTGGTAGTTTTCCCACTTACTAAAAATTAATTTCTAGTGGCCTCAAGGCACCTCGCGACCTGCTCCGAAGTTATCTTACAACTTTTCCACGCTGCAAAAGTAATGTGTCGTTCGCCGATGTTAATGATGAGTGCAGGTTTTTAGTCAACAAAGAGGCCTCTAAGGTCCAATTAAAACGTATCTACTATATGCAAAATCTCGCTAGTGGTTTGCAGTCTTCATTATATGACTTATTTATTCAGGTAATTTCTTAACTCAGTTACATATCTGTCAGCTTTTTGGAAGTCGTTCGACATCGTTTATAAATTTTGTGTTACAAATCTGAAATTCAGGATGTTTTTCCATTCAGAAATGGATAGATACAGGCAGACAGATACAACGCAGAACTTCGTACATAGGTATATCAGTTCAGGTTGCCATACCACGTCAACACAGAGACGTAACTGTCAGTTCAAATCCAAGAGTGATAGCGATAGTAGAATTATTAGCAGCAATGGAAAAGATTAGAGAGCGATGATTCGAGAAGTATAATTCAGTAAGATAAATTTGCGAGAGAAAGATAGAGATTATGAGGTATTATGAAGGATAGAATTAGAGAGAACACAAAGAGTGGATGCACCTGCACCATTGCAAACGATTCTGAGCCATGTTTAAGGTCTCTAACCATTGGTGACTTTCGTCTCGCGGACCCCAACCAGGTAGTCTATATCTACCAACATGACTCAGTCCACTTGTCAGTGACTTCATGGATTTGTGCCATGTTTTGGTCTGGTTGCCCCTAACTTTCTTCCAACCTACTCCTACACCACAAAACAGCTCGTCGAGGCAGTCCGTGGTTGGGCATACGTAACACATGTCCCAACCATCTCAACTGATGAAGTTTCAATGCTTCATCTATTGATTTGCCATCCTTACCTAGAACTCGTTTTCTAACGATAGCATTGCTTACTCAGTCTACCATGCCAGGCAGGTCGATTGGAGCACGATGAGACTAAAAGCAGCTACCCAAGGTCTGAGGGCGAAGTCGTAATGCTGAATTTAGAGGGGTGTGAGAGCAGTAAGGTGTTTCCCTCAGACAACCAGCATCTGCAGCGATGCTGCCTTCTCACAAGAAAGGAAGGGTTAGAAAAGGTCGACCCTAGAAATGTCACACCTCACCCTACCTCACGGATTTCCGTCTCCGTCGGTAAGGGTGCTCACTAAGGGCTTTTAAGAGCGGAGCTAATACTAGGAAAACCTTTCATCAAAAGGCTGTGCGCAACCGGCCTCAAGCAGTTGTCCCCTGGGCTCTGCGGTCACGCACCCTGTTCTCTAAGACCAACACTAATCTACCTTCTTCTTCAGGTCCCTCAAGAAACAACCTTCCACGGTGTGGGCAGCCGGGAAGTGACAACCGCCCTCATACTCGTAACATCACGCGAGACCAAATTGGTCAAAACCAGTTCAGAAATGGAATATTGTTAGTACTACAGCATGTACTAACTTCACACATTTGGATCAAGATACGTCCCTTACATTTCTCTTTCTAATCTATGACTGCACCTTATTTTCAACCTCTTTATATCTCAGTTCTGACTATCATTGTTCGATAGTTCAGTAAAAAAATTTTGAGTTCTGACGAAATACCTTAAAAGATACAAGTTATTAGGACTTGTCTCCTATAATTAGTTTCTACATTTTTAAAACTATCGCCACAGGTATTTAGCGTATGCTAGTTACTAATGCGTTAAATTTCATATGGATAACTACTTTAACGTAGAACACATTTCTAAGAAAGCTGTTGGTTATCTAAATTATACGTCCGAAGCAGATTGTGTACAAATTTACTATATATCCGTTTTTGCTAACCTAAATCAAGAATATCCCCCTGCTGTTGAAAATGAGTTCCTTAATATATTCTAAAAAGCAATACTTTGTTGATCGAAACAAGCTGAATACAAATAGGTTACCAAGAATTAAAACTGGTGGTTATTCATACATGAGAATTTTTAGTTCTGACAATCATAGTTCAATCTAGCAACTCAGTAGCAGTAATAATATACCTTCTACGGAATTTGTGGCTGGTTTTGATTGTGTTGAAGAATGATAGTGAGCATAGCTAAGGAAGTTCATGCTTAGAGAGAAAATTTACCTATCACTGTGTAGCTTCTAGAGGTCACGGAAACCATCCATTTGTTGTGAAAGTTCTTATTGAAAACTCCGGTAATGTCAAGTACGTAAAGAATGTTAAAATAAAAAAATACTTATCATGTACCATATATTTCTCAGAATTAAATTTTTAACAAATTGTCATAATGTACCTTGCGGCATTACGCGATCCCGAGTTGTTTATGTATAGATTGAGATTTACGGCTGACATTTTGGTAAAGCATTAATTATTTTGATACATTCAAATTTATAACACTACCGGTTTATTCAAACTTTAAAGGGTGAAGCTACCGAAAAAATAGCTGTAGCAATCGAGTCTGTCAAGCAACGCACGGAAACACTCAAACACTCAATATCACAAGCACGCAAAAAAATACGTGTACTGGAAAGCAGAAAATTTTCTCTAGGCAAGTTTCCACTTTTATTTTTTCCCGGTCTTTGGGATCTTAGATTGGTGTTTCTTGGCAAATATCCATCACTTTGTCACCGCTTAACCATATTAAGTCAGTCAGATGCGACGTAGAACTCCGTACATAAGTACATCAGTTCATGTTGCCATACCACATCAACACAGAGATATAATTGTCAATTCAAATCCAATAGTAGTAGAGGTAGTAAAGGTATTAGAACCAATCGGAGAGGTTAAGATTAGAAGATATTATTCAAGACGTATGATTCAGTGAGAAAAGTTTAGAAAGTCAAAACTAGAGGTGTAGAAGAATCCAGAAGATTAAGATTTGAGAGAACACAAAGAATAAATGCACCGGTGCCATTGTAAACGGTTCTGAGCCATGGCATTCAGGGTCTCTAACCATCGATTATTACCATCTCGCGGACCCCGACCAGGTAGTCGACAACTACCGACATGACTTCATGGATTTCTGCCATGTTTTGGTCTTTCTTCCAACCTACTCCTACACCACAAAACAAAGCTAGTCGAGGCAGTCGGTGGTTAGGCATACGCAGCACATGTCCCAACCACCTCAACTGATGAAGTTTCATTACTTCACCCATTGATCTGCCATTCTTACCTAGCACCCGTTTCCTAATAACAGCCTTGCTCACTCGGGTGTCCCACGATATACGATCAATGCTTCGAAGACACCTATGATCGAAAACCAGTAACCTACGAATATCTTTTAGTCTGACTGGCCATGTTTCACAGCCATAAAGTAGGACCGAGCGAACTACTGTGCAGTACACTCGTCTTTTAGTCAGCAAACGGATGTCTCACCTACGCAATAAGTGACCTAGGTTGACAAAAGCCAGTCGAGCTTTCTCTATCAGAGCTGAGTTTTCGTCAGTCACCAGGCCGTAGGCACTGATGAGACTCCCCAGATACGTGAAGCGGTCTCGATGCACACCGATTCCGAGGCAACGTTTTGCATCTGCCGGAACCGAAATTCATTTCAAATCTGCTAGCATTGTTGCTTGAAGGGAACAGTGTCAATCAGTCAGTTACAGCGCAGAACTGCGTACGTAAGTACATCAGTTCAATTTGCCATACCATATTAGCACAGAGACGCGAATTTTAGTTCAAATGCCATAGTAGTAGAGGTAGTATAAGTCTTAGCAGTAAGACCAACGCTAATCTACCTTCCTTTTCAGGTCCCTCAAGAAACAACTTTCCACGGTGTGGGCAGCTAGGAAGTGACAACCGCTCTCATACCCGTAACAGCACACGAGACCAAATCGGTCACAATCGACTCTTCCTACACCCCCTAGTATTTCTTTTATCTCCACAACTAGCTCTTCTCACATTCCTTTATCACAGTGCACAGCTAATGCAAACGATGTGAGTTCACGAAACGTCATTTCTGGTCTCCTGAAAGCCCTCTCTAGACTACATGTTGGAGCATTTAATGTACGGACATTTTGTCAAATAGGGCAACAGGCTTCCTTAGCTAGGACAATAGAATCTCGCTCAATCGATGTGTGCTGCGTCTCGGAAACGCGCATACAGGATCCTAGTAAAATTATTAATCTGATTTCACCTTATCAAAATAAAGAAGCAGCTCGATTTACTCTTCGTGTATCCGGTAGCCCTGATGCTGCTTCCAGGGGTCTTGCTGGGGTAGGCATAGCGTTGAGTCCTAGGGCAGAATTATCTCTCGTTGACTGGATCCCAGTAGATAGTCGTTTGTGCGCTGTCCGACTAAACGGGACAGTAAGGACTCGGAAAGATAGGGACAATCGCCGTTGCCTCTTCATCGTATCTGCCTATGCCCCCACTGAATGCAGTTCAGACGAGGTTAAAGATGAGTTTTACAGAAAGCTTTCGGACCTCCTCCAAAATGCTAGGCGCTCTGATATAGTAATAATGGCTGGTGACTTTAATGCTCAAGTAGGTAGACTAAGTGAAAATGAAAGACATCTAGGTGGATGTTACGGTCTCGCGGCTCAAAGAACAAACAATGGTGACCGTCTGTTGCAACTGTGCTCAGATAACCAACTATTTCTAGCAAACACTAACTTTAAGCATAAGGAAAAACATCTGTTGACCTGGCGACCCCCGAAGTCGTCTCAACGTTGGACCCAACTAGATCACATCGTCACCAGCCACCGATGGAGGGGTTCGATAGAAGACTGTCGCTCGTTCTGGGGCACATTTTTAGATTCAGATTATGCCCTAGTGCGAGCGCATATTTGTTTGAGGCTTAGTGGACGTAGGAAAGACACCGTGAGGTAACCTCTTAGGTTTCTACTTAATGACAATAAAGCTAAGAATACATTTTAGGAGCAACTAGAAAAACAGTTAGGCGACCAGGTAAGTGATTCCCATCCGGAGGGAGGTTGGAATGATATCTAAAAGGCTGTGGAAACAGCAGTGATGTCTGCTGGTCAGGTTAACCATAAGGCTAGAATAAAGCCGTGGATTTCAGTCGCATCTACCGAACTGATGGATGCTCGAAAACTCATCCCGCCCGGCTCTGAGTGGGATGAAGAGCGGAGTCAGCTTAGACGTAGGCTGATAAAAAGCATTCGCAACGATCTAGAACAGTGGTGGGTGGAGAAAGCGAGAGAGATGGAAAAGGCAGCGGCGATAGGCAACACTATAGAACTTTTCCGCCTTATCAAAGAAACCGGTATTGAGAACCCAAATGTGAATGAGACTATCTCGGGAAAGGATGGTCTTATTATCCATTCTCAATCCAGGAGATTGGACCGATGGGCAGAACACTTTAGGGACCAGTTCAACTGGTCTTCAGCCACACTTCGGTTACCCACGATCCCCAGTCATCCTGAATGGCCAATCGATTTAAGTCTTCCCAGTCTACAGGAAGTTGAGAAAGCGATAGGTGAACGAGAACACAGGTGGGGCAACCGGATTGTATTTAACGAAAACTACAGAGTTACTCAGTAAAATCGGAAAACCATATCGTAAATCGTTCATTTGCAAAATATCAGTCCATCATATCGAACTGGACTGTTCCTGTTGCAAAACATCAATCCATTGTCACTATTCATGCGTTTCATACAAATTCCATTGTGTTCTAACTCTTCCTTTCTTGATCTTCCCCCATCTTCTGCTGCCAGACATTACGTTGACACTCACGTCATATACTACTTATAAGTAACTCACACCACACTCGTCCCCCCTTTTAATAAGCTGTCGTCGTAGTCTTTCAAAACAGGGACCCTGGTCAGTTAATATCACCTTCCGTATTCCGTGACAGGCTACGATATGCCGGATTACCACTTCGGTCATTGTTCTTGCCCACCGGTCTGGAATGGGTATGGCATCTATCCAACGTGTAGTGTTTACTAGTTCCCGCTGCTGGGACACGGCGGCAGGCACACTCGATAAATTGTGACGCCAACAACTGTGCCCCCCGACTCCCCATCCATACTCGTCAGCGTACGGCACAGCAACATCGTGAGCTCCACAGCCAGCACCAACGGGTCACCATCAGCCGACAGCCTCGCCAACCGGAACCTCTGCGGCACCTCCTCCCTGTCCACCGGTCTGTCGCACTCCATCATCACCGGCCCGGTGACCGTCTCCCACGCCGTCTTCCCGACGGCACCGTCCAGGCTGTCGTATACCGCCTTCGCCTCACCTCCCCGCAGCGTCCCCAGCACCGCCAACTCCGCCCCGGGCCCCTTCACACCCACTAGCTCCACCGCGGCCTCAAACTCCTCCAGGAAGCTCCGCAAATCTCCGGCCACGGGAGCTCCTTCATCCGAGCAGGCAGCGACACCAAATGTAGTGAAGGAGAACACCTACCTGAACGCGGATGTATAGAGCACATCTTCACACTACGACAGGTCCTGGAATACAGACACACATTTAGGCGTCTTACAATAGTTGTTTTCCTGGACCTAAAAGCGGCATTTGACTCTGTCGATCGTGAGGTTCTGTGGCAGTGTCTGTCATTGAAATGTGTACCGAAGAAATACATTAACCTTATACGAGCTCTCTACTCAAACACCACTGGTCGGGTGAGAGCTTATGGCGAACTGTCTTCGGAATTCTTTACTTCAAGTGGTGTCCGTCAGGGTTGTCCACTTTCTCCATTCTTGTTTAATTTTATCATAGACATACTCCTAGATATAACCTTATCCTCGTCTGAATTTTCAGGAGTAGACCTTCTACCAAGTGGCTCGCTTGTCGACTTAGAATATGCCGATGACATAGTTCTATTCGGTGAAGACGCTGACAAAGTGCAGAGTCCTCTGATTTCCCTTAGCAACAATGCAAGCATGTTCGGGATGCGGTTTTCCCCCTCGAAATGCAAAATGTTGCTTCAAGACTGGGTTTCATCGGCACCTGAACTAGTAATAGGGAGTGAAGTAGTTGAGCGTGTAGACCGCTTCACTTATCTCAGGAGTATCATCAATGGTGAAGATATTCTGTGTGACGAAATCTCAGCTCTGATAGAGAAAGCTCGACTGGCTTTTGTCAACCTAGGTCACTTATTGCGTAGGTGAGACATCCGTTTGCTGACTAAAAGACGAGTGTACTGCACAGTAGTTCGCTCGGTCCTACTTTATGGCTGTGAAACACGGCCAGTCAGACTAAAAGATATTCGTAGGTTACTGGTTTTCGATCATAGGTGTCTTCGAAGCATTGATCGTATATCGTGGGACACCCGAGTGAGCAAGGCTGTTATTAGGAAACGGGTGCTAGGTAAGAATGGCAGATCAATGGGTGAAGTAATGAAACTTCATCAGTTGAGGTGGTTGGGACATGTGCTGCGTATGCCTAACCACCGACTGCCTCGACTAGCTTTGTTTTGTGGTGTAGGAGTAGGTTGGAAGAAAGACCAAAACATGGCAGAAATCCATGAAGTCATGTCGGTAGTTGTCGACTACCTGGTCGGGGTCCGCGAGATGGTAATAATCGATGGTTAGAGACCCTGAATGCCATGGCTCAGAACCGTTTATAATGGCACCGGTGCATTTATTCTTTGTGTTCTCTCAAATCTTAATCTTCTGGATTCTTCTACACCTCTAGTTTTGACTTTCTAATCTTAACCTCTCCGATTAGTTCTAATACCTTTACTACCTCTACTACTATTGGATTTGAATTGACAATTATATCTCTGTGTTGATGTGGTATGGCAACATGAACTGATGTACTTATATACGAAGTTCTGCGTTTCATGTGACTGACTGACTCTTAACTTCATAAGGATTTGGAGGACTTATGTTGGTTTTCCTTTCAGGATGGTTGGAAATCGTGGGCAACCTAAGTGTGGCTGAGGGCCAGTTGAATTGATCCCTGGAGTGTTCTACACATCGATCCGATCTCATGAATAATAGTCCCATCCTTTTCCGAGATAGCTTCACTCACATTCGGGTTCATATTACCTGTTTCCGTGATGAGTCTCAATAGTTGTCTACTCTTGCCTATCGCCGTTGCTTTTTCCATCTCCCTTACTTTCGCTACCCACCACTGTTCTCGATCATTGCGAATGCTGTTTATCAGCCTGCGCTAAAGCTGACTCCGCTCTTCATCCCACTTAGAGCCATGCGGGATGATCTTTCGAATATCTATCAGTTCGGTAGATGCCATTCAAATCCACGGCTTCTCCCTAACCTTATGGTTTACCTTACTAGCAGATATCACTACTGTTTCCACAGCCTTTTTGATATCATTCCAAGCTGCCTGAGGGTGGACATCAATTACTACATGGCTGCTGCCTAGCTGTTTTTCTTGTGGTTCCTGAAATATATTCTTAGCTATGTTTTTATTAAGCATCAACCACTTGTGGGAGAATACAAACCATATTCGAATTGAGGAATAAATTAGGAAGAAATACTGTAGGTGGACTGGACACATTGCAGAAATCATCCAATTGTATTACCGGGCAAATCCTGAAGGCCGAGGTAGAAGTTATAGATTGAGGAACACACTGAGCCTAGAATTCGACAGACGCGAAGAAAATGAGTAGTAATTGAGTAGTACTGGAAAAGAGATTGGAGTACAGAGTTGATTGGTGTATGCTATTCTGTAGCCTATTCCTCATGATTGGTAACAGGTGTAAGTGAGTAAGGCTTGTTTAGTTTCACCTAAAATTTAGTGGTATATTTCACTTTTCTAATACCACTAAATTATCATCAGCGCACCTTAACCACATTCTTGGTTTGATTACTTTTATGAAAAAAATTTTCTTCTAAATAACTTCGTATTTTGATGTTCATTTTTTTCACTCTTTTCTCGACTTCTTAATATTATGGTTCTATAAATTGTGGCGACTTAAATTTATGCGCAGTTCACGCATATCTTTGTTTACTCTTGATTACATATAATTGCTTTTCTAGTTACCTTACAATATCTTAGACAATTCAACATTCATTTGGGATCTTATTTGATCCAAAAACGAAGATATTAATTCAATATTATTGTCTTCTAAATAACGTGTTACTTGTCAATATTTTTTTACAGAGCAAGAATTCTTAAACATAAACGAGGATAAAGCAACAATCAGTAACCGATTGAAAGTATTAAAACAATCTTTAAAAGAAGGCTAGTAGGTTTTATCATTATCATTTTTGTTCATGTGTTCACTATTTTTTCTCGCTCTAGTATATTTAATCATCATATCATTATATTTATAATTTATTCTACTCAGAAATTATAAATTCTAACGTTAGGCCTCACAAAATATCCTGTATGAAACTCTGGATCTATGAGCTTTACTACTTAACTTTCAACGGCATATTTCAATTACAGTCCACCCAAACGGGGAGTAAGAAAAATAACTGGTTGGAGCACATCCCGTCACCTCTTCGTCATCTCTACTTACACTCCCGACCGCAGTTTGGATATAGTAAAAGCTAAACAGTCAAATGTAATTGTAGCAAGGTATTTCGATGCCAAAGTAGATGGACCCTAATGTACCGTATTGGCATCAATCATCATTTGGTAGGCTTGACGGACAGCTGTCGCTTATCCCGAGACGTATGCTCTAATGCGAGCACACGTTCGTCTGCATCTCACTGGGCACAAAATATCTACAGCAAGAAGATCCCCTAGAGTTCAGTTTGACAACGATAAAGTCAAGAGTATATTTCAAGAACAGCTATGAAAGCAGTTAGTCGGTCTTCAAATCATTGTTCATCCCGATAACGGTAGAAACAATATCCAAATAACTGTGAAGATAATAGTGATTGAAACCAACAGATTAAGAAATATCGATAGATTCTCGGGGACTAAACCCTTTACACCAGAAACACAATGAGGAGAGAACTTAATTACTTACTCCTGTTACCCCCCAATGGACATAGGCCTCCAACCAGCATTCTCCAACCTACTCTGTCCTGGGCCTTCCTCTCCAGTTCTGTCCAATTTTCGTCCATTCTTCTCGTGTCTGTCTCCATTTCTCGGCATAATGTATTCCTTCACCTTCCTCTTTTCCCGTGACCTTGAGGGTTCCAAATGAGGGCTTGTCCTGTCGCGTAATTAGGTGCTTTTCACAATATGTGTTCCATCAATTTTCAGTGCCTCCTCCTGATCTCTTCCTCCACTGGAATCTGGTTTGTTCTTTCCCACTGTAGGTGTTTGACCATTGAATCAGAAGTATTTTGCGTGGAAAACTGTTAATGAATACTTGTATCTTCTGGATGATAGCTTTCGTAGTTTTCCTAGTTTCCACCCCATACAGCAGAATTTTCTTGACATTTGTATTGAAAATTACGACTTTGGTGTTTGTTGATAGTTGTTTTGAGTTGCAGATGTTTTTCAATTGTAGAAATGCAGCCCTTCCTTTGCCAATCCATCCCTTCACTTCTGCATCAGATCCACCATGATTGTCGATGATGTTGCCCAGATATGTGAAGGTTTTAACGTCTTCCAAGACATCTCCATCAAAAGTGATATGGTTTGTTGTATCGGAGTATCTTGCTTTTCCCTTGATGTATGTGGAGACCTGCTGCTACAGTGGTCGTCTTCTCTTGCATTTGCTGTTGCGTGTGCGATAGAAAAGTCAAGTCATCTGTGAAATCCAGGTCATCCAGCTGCATCATAGCTGTCTACTGTATACCGTGCTTCCCTCCAGATATCGACGTCTTCATAATCCAGTCGATCGCCAGGAGAAAGAGAAAGGGTGAGAGTAAGCAACCTTACCTGACACCTGTCTTCACCTCGATCAAGTTTATGACCTGTTCTCCGTGCATAATTCTGCTGTTTAATCGATCACAAGAATTTCTTATGATTTTGACTATCTTCTCAGGCACACCGTAGTGTCGAGGAAGCCTTCATAGTGTTGTTCTGTCCACGCTATCAAATGCTTGCTCATAGTCAATGAAGTTGATATAGAGTGGTGAATTTCATTCAATTGATTGTTTCACAATAATCCGTTATGTTGCGGTTTGGTCAGTACTCGATCGATTCTTACGTAATCTAGCCTGTTTATCTCGAAGTTGGGCGTCTACGAAGTCCTTCACTCTGTTGAAGACTTTTCCTGGTATTGAGAGAAGAGTGATGCTTCTGTAGTCTTCACACCTGCTGAGATCGCGTTTCTTTGGTATTTTGATGAGGTATACTTGTGTCCAGTCCCTTGGCACTTGTTCTTCATCCCAAATCTCTTTGAAGAGTGTGTGAAATGTTTTTGCAGTTGCTCCTACATCTGCTTACAGCTCCTCTGCTGGAATGTTTTCTGGTCCTGCTGCCTTGCCACTCTTCATTTGTCTGATGGTCATGCTGATCTCTTCAATTGTTGGTGGAGCAACATCGAATGGGAAGTCCGTAGATGCTGGTTCGATGTTGGGTGGGTTCAGTGGTGCTGGTCGATACAAGGGTTCTTTAAAGTGTGTTACCCACCTGTTTCGCTTTTCTCTGATCGTTCTGGTTTACGATAGTTTCCAGCGAGCTTCTTTGTTGTACCGTACAATGGTCGTAAGTTTCCTTATCTTGCAACCTTTTCCGCTGTCATTGCTAGATCTTCCACACATTTACGTTTGTCAGCTCTGATGCTCTTCTTCACTTTCCTGTTTGCTTCTGTGTATTAAGCTTGTGCGTTGACTTTCTCTGCTCTTGTTCGGCTGATGTTGATTGCTGCCTTCTTGTTCCTCCTCTCTTCAATTTTTTCAAGAGTACCAACAGAGATCCACTCTTTGGGATGGTGATTCTTGTGGACCAGAACCTCGTGACATGTCGAAGTGATCGCCTCCTTGATCCATTTCCAACTGTTCTCCATGGTAGTTTCCTCTCCATTGAGTTGGTCGTGTAAGGCCTGGAGCCTATTGCTGAGGACTATCTTGAATTCTTTGGGCATCCCGAAGGATGGCCGTGTTAAACATTTTTGATGTTGTCGGCCCCATTTTCCAGTGTTTCAGTTTCATTTTGACGACCAGCAAGTGGTGATCTGAGGTTATATCGGCTCCTCTATTGGTTCTCACGTCCTCCATGGTCCTTCTGAACTGTTTACTGATGCAGAAATGGTCCATTCGGTTCAGAGTAGTGTGATCCAGTGAAATTCATGTAGCTTTGTGCATTCGTTTTTGTGGGAATACTGTGCTGCCGATGACCAGTTTGTTGAAGGCACATAGGTTTGCAAATCCCTTACCATTTTCGTTCCTTCTTTCCAATCTATGTCGTCCGATGATGTCTTCATATCTAGTGTTGTCAATGCCAACCTTGACATTTAGGTCTCTCATCATAATGGTCAAATCCTTCTGAATGAAAACCTAACTCCGAGGGTAGAGTTAAAATGGTTTGAATAGCGCTTTTTGACGAGTTAGTTTTCTACGGGATGGGGTCGCCAACGTCAAGCTCAACCCTTTTATCCGAGTTTGCGACCAACAGCAGCGTCAGAAGGGGCTCCTGGCAGAGTTAATTAGGAGCGATGAAAAGTAATTATCATGTACTAAAAATATTTTTTTGTGAACAGTGGATTCGCAAGAAATACAAAAGACGGCAGTGACCGATGAAAATAAACATCTTTCCATACTTATCAAAGTTTCTTTTACTTATTTAAACATATACAGACGGTTATGAAAATAAATATTTGCCAAACAATAAGAATATTAGATTGGAGTTTGTGAAACTATCCACCCTTAATCCTCGAGATTTGATCAATACGGCGACACACTGAACAAAAGCTTAGACGGTTTCCAGCTACTCTCTAATTACCTATTTTTACCAAGCAACTAAAGTGGGATTTCAACACTAGCCCTTCTACACTCAGTGAAGTTGAAAATCCCATAGCTAATCTAAAGCGAGAGAAGGCAGCATGCCTTAATGGATTAACCCTTCAGATGTTTAAGAATGGTAGTCCAGTTTTAGCTGTTCGATCTACTCAGATATTAATTTAACTCTGGAAACCGGACTTAATATCACCTGAATCATCTCGTTCGGTGACCATTCCAGTTTATGAAGGACGGAGATCTTATGATAATCACAGAGCAATCATTTTGACCAACACAGTTTCCAGAATATTAGCCTTAATAATCATTTGATGCTTAACTAGTACTCGTAGATCGCAAACTAATTTCAAACCGGGATATGACTGTGCAGACCAAATATTTACCCTTCGCCATATTCTGTAACATAAGCATACCTGTCGACTTCGACTCCTGGGTTGTCCTCTTCCCCCACTTTTATTTCATTTCGTCACAGATATACTATTAGATATAGCATTCTCATCGTCTGAATCTTCAGGAATTAGTTTTACAACACGAGACTAACTTGCAGACTTATAACACACAGATGATATAGTCTTGTTTGATGAAGATGCTGAGAAAATAATATACCACGGACATGTAAGCACATTATAGCTACAATCACAAGGATTTTATAATTCATGGCGTTCGATCTACTTATCATTCTCTTTTCCGCATTGTTTTTAGTTGATTTCGTTTAAGTAATGTTTTTGTTTAAAAAATTTCTCTTTTGACTGGTGCTAGATGAAATGACTCATAAAGGTTTCACCCAAGATCTACTGAAGGTAGGTGTGTAAGTCGAAATCCGCTCTTCGCCAGGTTCTGAACGATAGACATGCCCAATAACTTAAACTACAGTTGTATTTATTGACCTTAACGTGGTGGCCGACATTGCAGATCAATATATTTCGGGTTAGCGTTTGCCACTGAAGGTTTCCTAAAGAATTATGTCAGCCTTGTACAAGCTCTCTACTCGATCACTGCTAATCAGGTCAGAACCCATGACTAATTGCCCCCGGACGCAATAACATCAAGAGCTGTTCTTTCCTCACTTTTATTTGATTTGGTCACATACGTACTTTTAGATATGGCATTCTCATCGTCCAAATTATCAGGAACTAGTTTTCTAACATGGAACTGACTTGCTAATCCATAATACGCTGATGATATGGTTGTGCTTGGTGAAGACGTTGAGAAATTAAAGTCTTCTGTTCCCTTCGCCCAAGCGTAGCTGCTACCTTGACGTGGTGATCGGGCTCGCCTATCGTGATGACCCAACCAAGCTATACTGGCTGGAACATATGTTCCTGAAGGTTCTACCATGCCAGGCAGGTCGATCGGAGAACGATGAGACTAAAAGCAGCTACTCACGGTCTGTGACTAGCCTCAAGCAGTTGTCCCTTGGGCTCTGCGGTCACGTTGCCAGGTCGTTAAGACCAACATTAATCTATCTTCCTTTTCAGGTTCCTCAACAAACACCCTTCCACGGTGTGGGCAGCAGGGAAGTAACATTCGCCCTCATACCCATAACAGCACATGAGACCAAATTGGTCGCAATAAAATCCTCTCTTCACCTCCTAATATCTCTCTTATCTCCTCGACCAACTCTTCTTTCGATCGTTCATCACCTCGAGCCACTGAAGCAAACGGTTTGAGCTCATGAAACATTATTCCTGGTCTCTTAAAACCCCGTACTAAATTACATATACGAACTTTTAATGTTCGGACCCTATGTTTATGGCAACAGGCTTAATTAGCTAGAACTCTGGAATCCCGGACTATCGATGTATGTTGCATCTCCGAAACGCGCATACAAGATCCGGGTAAAATCATCAATTTGATCTCACCTAGTGCAGATAGAGACACAACAAGGTTTACGCTTAATGTTTCTGGAAGCAGTGATGCCGCTTCTTGTGACCTCGCCGGTGTAGTTATGGTATTAAGTCCTATGGCAGAACCAGGTCTCTTAGACTGGATCCCGATAGACAGTCGCATATGATCTGTCCGACTAAATGTGACGGTATGGACTCGGAAGGATAGGGACACTGGTCGTTGCCTCTTCGTCGTATCTGCCTATATTCCCGCTGACTGCAGTTCAGACGACGTGAAAGATGAGTTTTACAGAAAGCTTTCGTATCTCCTTCAAAACGTTAGGCGCTCTGATATAGTAATAATGGTTGGTGACTTTAATGCTCAAGTAGGTAGACTCAGCGAAAATGAAAGACGCCTGGGTGGATCTTATGGTGTCGCGGCTAATCGAACAGATAATGGCGACCGTCTGCTAGCAAACACTAACTTTAAGTCTAAGGTAAAACATCTCTTGTCCAAGCGACTCTCGAAGCCGACCTAACAATGGACCCAACTAGATCACATCGCTATAAGCCATCGGTGGAGAGGTTCTGTTGAAGTCTGCCTCTCATTCTTGCTTAGACTCATACCATGCTCTAGTGCAGGCGCGTATTTGTTTGCGCCTTACTGGACGCAAGAAAAGTATCGCAAGGAAACCTGTTAGGGCTCTACTTAATGAAAATAAAGCTAATAATATATTTCAAGAACAACTTGAAAAACAGTTAGGCAGCAGCCATGTAGTAATTGATGCCCACCCTCAGGCAGCTTGGAATGATATCAAAAAGGCTGTGGAAACAGTAGTGATATCTGCTAGTAAGGTAAACCATAAGGTTAGGGAGAAGCCGTGGATTTGAGTAGCATCTACCGAACTGATGGATGCTCGAACTCCATATTATCTGATTCTTGTAATTGCATATATTACTTTAAACAACAAATCTTTAGTAACAACGTGTCCAAAGTTGATCAGATGCTCATGTATTGAGCTAGTGACGGTTTTGCACTCTTTTTTTAAAAGCCAAGGCGAGTAATGTTATGAGATGCGTTTGGAAAGTGATTTCTTTGTGCAGACAACCAGCATTTGTGTCAATTCTGTCATCTTACGAGGAAGGAAGGGGCTAGAAAAGGTCGACCCTAAAAATGTCACCTTACCTCACAGATTTCCGCCTCCGGTGGTAAGTCATTTTATGCAAGAGCGCAGTTAACATTTTAAACTGTTCCATAAAAAGGCCGTGCGTGACATGCATCAAGCAGTTGACCCTTGGGCTCTCTGGTCACGTTCCCAGGTAGCTAAGACTAACGCTAATCCAATTTCCTCAAGAGACACCTTTGCACGGTGTGGGCAGCTGAGAAGTGGTAGTTAAGTATGTATACCGCCTCACAAATCTCGGGAGTCTCACCAGTACTGATGGACTGGTAACTGACGGAGTCCCAGCACGGATACAGAAGCCTCGATTGGCTTTCGCCAACTTGCGTCACTTATGGTGTAGGCGAGATATCCGTCCGCTAACCAAAGGACGAGTTCACTACTCAGATGTCCGTCCCTTTCTATTATACAGGCCTGAAACATAGCCATTAAGATTAGAGGATATTCGCAGGTTACTAGTAATTGATCATAGGTGTCTTCGAAGCAATGCTCGTATATCCTGGGACCGTCGCTACGAAAAAGATACTAGGTAACGATGCCAGATCAATTGATGCAGTATTGAAACTTCACCAGTTGAGGTGGTTGAGATATTTGTTTGTACTGGAGCAGGTGCAACCACTCTTTGTGTTCTCCCAAATCCTAATCATCTAAAATTCTTCATTACCTTTATCTTTCTCCTTTTAAATTTATTTTACTGAACTATACTTTTCGAATCTTACTTTTCCGTTACTGCGAATACTTTTACTACCCCTACTACTACTGATTTTGGATTGACAATTCCATCTCTGTGTTGCTCACGTGGTGTGGCAACTTGAACTTATGTGTGTATGTGCAGTTTTACCTTGTAGTTGTCCGACTGACTATTGTTTGGATTATATTTCCTTGTTCGATATGTAACTTTGATTTCTTTAAAAACTGTTCAATAAAAGTTGTTAATAATCAGATTGCCAGAATTATCTAATGCATTTACTCTTTTTAAGCATTCAGTATGCATATTATCCAAATAAAATATCTCACTATGCCATTTATTTTCATTAGTTGTACATTTCCTCCCTGCTTATTCATTTACTGAAGTCCTAATACATAGGGCGTTGTAGATATATTTGTACACAATAGGTACCACTTTTAATCAGTCTTGTTTGGTGATTACAAGAAAATAACTTGTACTTGGGATTCGACTTCCTCTCTAGTTCGAGTGGAAGTAATAAACAGACAGAATGATTGACTTTATCTTTCATTTATGATATTAGTTCATGCTGATGATAGTATTTCTTCTAAATATCAAACCATATAGTCAGAAAGATGTTTCAGTTCATACAGTATTGGTTAAAGTTTTTCTTTGTTGCTTTAGTTAAAAGATTTCCTAAATGTTATTGTCACCTATTTATTTCTTGTTCATTTTGCTGATTATTAAGTTCAACTAAATCAGTTATACATAGTGTAGAACCCGGTGCATTTGTGCATCGGTTTAACTTGTCACATCATATCAGCGCAGCGAGATGTCAGAGTAGTATAAATAATCACAATATTGGTCTTAGTAGGTAAGAATGGATGGTAAGACGATGTGATTGGATGGAATACAAATTCTTAACGTAAGAAGTTATAAGATCTATGGCTATATAAATAATGCATACACCTGTGGCATTGTGCCTGATTCTGACTTATCTCACCCAATATCTTCAATCAATAATGACAAGAACCCCAACCAGGTAGTCTTTATCTACTAGTGCGTGTTCAGTTCAACACTCATTGGCTTGTTGAATGAACTTCCCTAGATTTTTAAGGTATTTTCTCGTATATTATTCATTTATTTTTCTGTAACTTATGACGTCTTGTTTCTTTTATTCACAGCAATGATCTTCATAAAACACGTTATGCATTATTTACTCGTACTCTTCATTTGCTAAATGAAGTTTATGGTCTTTTTATCAATGATTTAATAAATCCAATATATAACATTAATGAGGAAATTAACTCAAACGGTATCACAGTAAGTCATTATTATTATTATTATTGTGTTGTAGAAAATTGACGCAAGTTATTAAAGACTATCCATGATTGAGTTTATTAGACCATATGAATACTTAATACCTACAAACAACACAAATCTAGTTCGATAATAACTATAAATATGTGCTACATGTTCCAATTATCCTTCAATCGTTCGATTCGCATAACCTTATCAACAAGATTGTAATTGTATTTTCTCTTTCCATGGTTGTGATATTGTCTGGTGTGCTTACATGTCTGTCTAGGGACTTCTGGAGTCAGAAGGGTAGGAAGAAAGAAGCTATCGAGTTGTGGATTAATAAGGATTTAGAGCTAGCTCAAGGTTACTGGTGCTAAAAACGTAACCCTGATTAATGTTTTATGTTTATTACGTAATATTGGTCGACGGTTAGGGATAAAGCAGATCGAATGATGAGAATTCCGACATCTTCCTGACATTACTTATAGTTTATACTTTGTTGATAAGGTTACTGTACTCCATTATACCTTTTAATCAGCTGTGAATAACCATCCTAAAAAAATTAACTAGATATGTTATGAAAATACACTGATATAAATTGCAGTTGAAATTTTTGATTTTTAAGTCACTTTCTCCATCTTTTACTTCCGAAGATGGAAGGGTAGATTAGAGGTTAGGGCATTCGATCTTCAGCCAATAAGTCTCAGCTGCGAACCACCTAATTCTGTTGGGGCAGCCAAAGAATACAACTAGCCGTTTTATTTAGAGTGTGGTTCGAACTAAAGTGAGTGGAGTTGAATAAGATTAAAAGTACGCTTACAACAGTCAAGCCACTAAAAAATTAGTAGAAAAAGTTGCAAAATTTTTTACTATTTCTTCTAGCCTTGTGTATCTGTTATGTCCAAACACTGATAATTACTCATAGACAACTTTTAACGTCCATTACACACAAAATTATTACATTGAAATAAGATTAACTTAATACTGAGTTTAAAAATTATTTTGCTTCTTTATTTCGTCGATTGAATTATTGATAAATAGAAATATAAATAAAATCTTCACTATTTCTATGTATATAGTTATTACTAAGTATGTATTTGTTAGGTGTTTAGAGGTGGTCAGCAGGACACACTAAACTTAGGTTTTGTGCCTTTTGGCACTATTCAGCAAAGTGTACTGGTAATCTTGACAGAATTGGTACTCTCTTGGGGATTCGTTCACATGCCTTTTAGCTTCATCGTCTGATATGTCATCAATGAATCATTTAGACTGTGACTGACCTCCTGTAGAAAGAACTAAAATAGTCACAGTTGATTGATCGGTGAGTAGTGACTACTAAAAGGATCAGATAAACTTGACTCAACCGTAAATCGATTAGAAGTGCATACTTACTATTCAGCATCTTATCTATTTAGAATATTACTGTACCTACTAGCGGTATTCACCGGTAAAAGATTTTTTGGTCCTTCTTTTCTGACAAGAAACTATACCAAATAATTTTCTTTTCGGATACATTCCACATGATATTTACAAACAAATAATAAGTATTAGAAGCACAAACATCAACTATAAATATCCGATTTCTAATGAATATATATATATATATATATATATTAGTTAGCTATTGTCAAATCTTAACATCAGTATACATTGGAAGATCAGTATTGTGTTGTCTATTTTTTACAATTTAGTATTAGGTTGAAATAAACTGTTGTTTGTTTGATATTTATTAAATCAATAAACAGAATGATTTGATCAGTTCGTTTTTAATTTGTCTTCTATTTTATTCCAGAATTCATCAACAATGAAAAATAATGAATCCAATAATGACAAATGTTGTGATGATTACATTTATATGAATGAGAATTTTCCAGTCCCATTAGATGCAATAGAATTGTCCGATAATAATAATGATAATAATCATTATACAATTAATTACACAAACTATGGAATTGACACATTTCCATCGCCTATATGCTTTGCTTACATTGCACACTTGTTTACTTTGATTAGTGCAATTCTTGACCAGCCAATAATTTATCCTAAAGATTTTCTTGAAATTTATCCTAAATTAAAATTAGTGGATATTTATACTCGTGATATTTCTCAGTCAGATCGTTGGTAAGTTTTGAAATTATTTTTAACCACAAAATGTTTTTATGCTAAAAGACAGTATACATGAAGTATTCAGAAAAAAATTACCTGTTATGTAAGTAATCAGATAAACTTTCATCAAATATCGGTTATTTGGAGAAGCTAGTTGCTTGAAACAAATGGACAAAAAACAAAGTGACTAGCTCTTTTCCACGGTGAAACTTCTTTAAAAAAACAGATCACCAATCTTGGAGAAATTAATGCCTCTTATGGGATCGAAATAAACGTCACTCACTTTCAAAGTTCGAAATATTATTCAATCTTTAAGCCATAACGTACAACTTTGCACGTACGTACATAAGTCAAAGTTGCCAAGCTACGTTAACACACAGGGGTGGAATTGTCAATTCAAAATCAGTAGTAACAGAGGTAGTAGAAGTATTCGCAGTAATGGAAAAGATTAAGGTTCGAAGATATGATTCGAGAAGTTTTTTCCAGAGAAATGAATTTAAAAAAAGAAAGGTGGTGAGGAATTCAGAAGATTACAATCCGAGAGAAGACAAAGAGTGGATGCATCTGGGCCACTGCGAATGATTTTGAACGATGTCATTGGAAGTCTCTAACCGGCAGTCACGATAGTCTCGCGGATCTCAACTGGGTAGCCTACACCTGCCAACATGACATAGTCCATTTCTCAGTGTCCTCAAGGATTTGTGCCATGTTTTGGTTTGGCCAACCCCAGGATTTCTTCTAGCATACCTCTACATCAGACAACATTGCTGGTTGAGGCAGTGGGTGGTTGGGCATTCGTAACACATGTCCCAACCACCTCAACTGATGAACGTTCTCTACTTCATCAACTGATCTGGCATTGTTACCTAGTATCTTTTTCGTTGCGATGGTCCCAGGATGTATGAGCATTGCTTCGAAGACACCTATGATCAATTACTAGTAACCTGCGAATATCCTCTAATCTTAATGGCTATGTTTCAGGCCTGTATAATAGAAAGGGACGGACATCTGAGTAGTGAACTCGTCCTTTGGTTAGCGGACGGATATCTCGCCTACACCATAAGTGACGCAAGTTGGCGAAAGCCAATCGAGGCTTCTGTATCCGTGCTGGGACTCCGTCAGTTACCAGTCCATCAGTACTGGTGGGACTCCCGAGATTTGTGAGGCGGTATACACACTCAAATACTTCACCTCTCATCACTGGTTCAGGTGACGACACGAGCCAATCGTGAAGCAATATTTCGCATCTGGAGGGAGAGACTCGCATCCCAAACATGCTTATATCGTCGTTTAAGGTGGTCGGTCAGAAGACTGCATCTTGTCAGTGTCTTCAACAGACAAAACCATATCATCTGTGTATTGTGAATCTTCTAGTAGAAGGTCCAACCCTTAGAAGTCAGACGACTAAACAGGGTACTCTAAAAGCATGTTGATTACAAAGTAAGAGAAGAATGGAGAAAGTGGACAGCTGTGACAAACACCACTTGAAATGAGTAATTCCGATGACGGTTCGCCATAAGCTCCCACTCGACTAGTGGTTTGCTAGTAGGGAGCCTGTTTAAGGTTGATGTACTCCATGGCTACATCCTTCACTGAAATTCACTACCACAATACCTCACAATCGACAGAGTCGAACGCCATCTTAATGTCGAGGAATACTACTATTATAGGATGTCGGAATGTGTGTCTATGTTCTAGGACCTGATGAATTGCGAATATCTGTTCTCTACAACCACGTCCAGGTCGGAAAGCAGCCTGGTTTCCTCTAGTCTGCTCTTCACGATTTCTAGTGAGGCGTCGTAGTATTATGGAAGCCAACATGTCAGACAGTATATTAGTCAGCCTGACTCGTCTGTGATTATAACTGGAGGAATTTTGTCCTTTCTTATACACTGTGACAATCAGTGATTGAGACCAGTCGTATGTGAATACGTCCAGTTGGTAGATCCCATCTAAAATCTCAGTCAACCCAACTGTTGAAAATGGACCACTCAGACGGGTTGAATTACTGAGCATTTGTCAGTTCAGTAGCTGCCGCTGTAACCCACTGATTTTCTCAGTTCCAGGAAGACAATGAAGCTTTACTGTCCAATTACTATTGTAATGTTGTTCAACACTGTCCACCTGCGTACAGAATCCAACTTCATACTTTTAATTAATATGTAGAAAAAACTGAGTATATTCAATTATGTATTCAAGCATTTCGTTTTGATGCAATCTTTATTTTTACAGCCTGGCAATGTGTATACTAAAGCGTAATATCTTCTCTTTGGGTTCAAGATTTAATTTGTATTTAACACCAGAAGCTCATGCGTTGTATAACTTGAAGTACCTATTTGACCACTTCCAGAATAGTGAGTCAAGTTAGTGTAACATAACTGTTCTTAATGCGTGTTTAATTGTAAATATTACTGTTAACTTATCTTAGTGCTTTTGACAAAACGATTAAGTGATACTTTTGCGATCAGCGATTTAGTTCTTGGAATAGCTATGTTGAAATTATTTACCTGCACATACGATTTCATATGTGCCAACAAGTAGCTGTATCTGTACCACAGTGACAACTAACAATCGAGACGAGTACCAAGCACAGAAAAAACTGAGACTGTTGTGTGTAAACAAATATCTAATTAATATACAAGAAATCAAAGTCACTGTCGAAAATGTTAGGAATATAAAAATATATTAATAAGTAGATTAAATGTCTCAAGTTTATATAAGAAACCTGTAAATATAGTTCAACACCAAGGGCATACCAAGCCTTCTTTGCTCAAAAATGATTGGTAATAACATATGTTACTCATTAGCAGTAAGTAATATAAACATAATACACAAGAGAGAACCAGATTTGCAGACAAGTGATGCAAGCTGAATTGACAATTACAATGTATTTTAACCTGATTTTTCTTGTACACTCTCAATCCACAGTCTCCTATTGATTTTTACTGCCAACAGTGATAATTGAATTGATCGAAATATCAGTTTATTCCCACATTTACACTAAGCAACTCCTAGATAATACTACTAACTGATTATGTCAATGTGCATTGGAGTGTTCAGTATATTAATCTGCCTGGATAGTATAACTGACCAAGTTATCAGATGACAAATGATGGAGCTGATGTTCATTAAGTATTTCATCAGTCTCCATTTATGTACCACAAAATAATCATATTTTATACGGATGAATAAAATTAATACAACTGTTGGCATAGAGGGGACTGGGATTTTAAGTTATGTATCATAAACTGGCTTTAGTAGGACAACCAATAAAAACCCGTAGTCTCTCTCGACAGATTTTTTTCCCATGTATGGAACTCATTAGCAGAGCTGAATTTAAATTTCCGCTCTGCACACTATTTAATCCATCCTCGTACAGAAGTCAAAGCATACTCAATAATGAATTTCATTAGTTGACTGATAACTTGCATGTAGATGTTTGTGTCCAGATAGTTAATTTATTTACAGTTGGCAGAAAGTTTCGGTTTAACTG